AAAAAAAAAAAAAAAAAAAAAAAAAAAAAAAAAAAAAAAAAAAAAAAAAAAAAAAAAAAAAAAAAAAAAAAAAAAACTTGGAAAAAAAAAAAAGGAATGTATAAAGATGCAAAAATTGATAAGGAAAGAAAAGTAAGACGCGTTAAGAAGACAAAATTTTTATATTTAAATGGTAATTCCATATGGATATTTCAAATGGCAGCAGCTGATTGAACCACTAAGAGATACATTATTGATGTAACAACTACATAATCATGAACCTTTGTACTCCAAAAAACTTGGCTTATAGAAATCTAGTAAGTGTTTTTTAATTGGTACTAGCGTAATTTTCAATCGAGAATCGTTAAATTTGAGAGATCTACCGTTTGTAACCTGGTCGTGTTGTATAATATATATTCAATTTAAATATCACATACCCCCCCGATCATCAATCAACTCGAAAAAAAAAAATTTTTTTTTATTATAATGGATAACGATACTATAGACTCTATTATTAACGAAAGTGAATCCCAACATTTCGTGAACCCTGTACTAGAAAGCGCGTATTTCATTAATAAGGTGAGATTTTTTTTTTTTTTAAAAAAAAAAAAATCGAAATAATGAACTAAGCTTTTTAAGTTTAGAATGCAAAAGATGTCACCATTCCTCGAAACAGTATTCAAGAAGCAGCAAATGCGGTAATTTACAAATTTTTTAAGAATAATTCAATTAGAATTCACTGAATTAATCGAATCTATATATGTATAATATATCTTTTTTAGATTTATTCAAATATGAAAAAAATGAAATATTCTGTATCGGTATGGAAACAACATGAACTTCATCCAAAAATTGCAAACGAAGATGCAATTAACTGGTTAATACTCAACAATTTTCGATTTTTTTGAATTATCTCCGAGTCACTTGAATTAATCTCATCGATTTGTTTTATATTATAGGATCTTTCTCGCTGATCTATTAAACTTTTCTTTTTGGTCCGATTTAGAAAAAGATAAAGGATCAAATTGTCAAGAAAGGTTTACCATCCTTTATAAAGATAAACGATATACGGGATATTGGTCCTTATGCGCGGCAATTAATCGAGGTATTTTAGTAAAGTTAAAAAAAAAAAAACCTTTTCAAACATTTCATTTACTGATAATTATTAAATACTTGTGATTTAAAGCCATTGATGAAGGGATACCAATTACAACACCATCAGTTTATGCCTCAGCAGAAAATTTAAATGATGATAAAATTAAATATGCCTTTCGTTCTCATACAGGCGAAGAAATTCCTTTGCTTCAGGAACGTATTAATTGTATGAGAGAAGCCGGTAAAATTCTAGTTGAGGTATATTCATTTCTTTTTTGAAACTTCAACCTTTTTCATTTCTTTATCTGATTGTTTATATAATACGTTAAAGAAATTCGACGGTAGTTTTATTAATTGTATTAAACAATCAAATAATTCTGCCATGAAATTGCTAAAAATAATTACCGATAATTTTGAATGTTTTCGTGACGAATGTGAATTTCTTGGACGTAAAGGTAGGCAAGTAAATTCTCATTATTAAAAAAATTCACAAATTTAAATTTTTTTTTTTTTTAGTCCAACTTTATAAACGAGCTCAAATATTAATAGCCGATACTTGGTATATATAAATATATATAAATAATTGTAATTGTAATTGTAATTGTAATGTTATTTTAATTTATTTTAAATTATCGAATATAAAATATTTATACATTATTATTACGATGTAATGTTTTAGGGCTTGTTTTGAAGGACAAGTTTATGGTTCTTTTAATGACATTGATGAAATAACAATGTTTGCAGATTATAGGTATGTTATATATATATAATTTATATTAATCTTAATAATATACTAATTTAGACTTATTACATATTTAATTTATATAAATCCCACAGGGTTCCACAGGTAAATCAATTTAAGTTTCTTTATTTTAAAACATGGGATTTTACATTTATTTATACAGGTTTTTTTTTATTTTAGGCACTTCATCATTTAGGTGCATTGTCATATTCTCAACATTTACTCAACATGATAAACTCATTCACATTATTACCAAATGGTTCACAATTAGAAATCGAGATTAGAGGTAATTTAAATTTCTTAATGTTAATCATCCTCTTTTTTGGTGTAATCACAAAGTCAATTGTTCTTTATATATACATATATATATATAGGATGTTCAATATGGTCGGTAGAATTATTAAAAAGAATTATTCAACGGAAAATTCAACAGGAAAATAATCGAGAGTTAATTCCAATAGTTAATACTATTATTTTGGATTTTTATATATGGGATTTTGCTAATGAACATAAACATACAATTAAAATTGGTATTCATAGAACAAGAAGTATTTTTTACTAATTTTAGATTTTAGAACCTCTCGAATTCTGAAAATTTGAATTTGAAATTTTTTTTTTTTTTCGATATTTTTTAATTTTTATATTATAATATGTATATATACATATATATACACAATTTTTTTTTTTTTTTTGGAAATAATTCACTTAACTATTTACTATTATCCTATACTCTGAAAATAAATATTTGAATTTTTTTTTTTTTTTTTATCTCTATTAATTTACAAACAAATAAAACAGGGAAAAAAGAAAAAATTTACAACTTTGTTTATTTGTTTGTATGCAAATGAAATTGTCAACTAAGGGAAAAAAAAAACTATATACCAAAATAATACATACAGTATTTCGTCAAAAAAAAAAAAAAAAAAAAAAAAAAAACAAACAAAACCACCGAAAGAAATTGAAATAATGAAAAAAAAAAAAACAAGAAAAATACGTTAAAATGCAATGTTTTTGGGGGAATGCTTCGCCTAATCAATCTAATAAAAATCTCGCGGTTTATTAAGACTTCATTCCTCATCTTTTTGTGCTTGTAAATATGCTTCCATCTCCCTAGCATATCTTGCTTTGTCATCGGTAGCCTTTTTCTCCCATGGTGCTCTCGATTCGGGAGTTAAAGCCTTCCAATGACTTGCAATAATTTTACTTATGGGACCAACCGTACTTCCAGGATTTTGTTCTGCAACATGTGGTCTCATCTCTAATGCATAGAATAAAAATCCCGACATTGGATGCTTTGGCGCAGTTGGATGTCGGCTTCGTTTCTTTTTACGTCCTCGGGGGTCTTTGGGCGGAGCGCCCGTTACTGGACCCTCGTGATGATTTCCGTGTGGAACACGTGGTGGATGATCTCCTCCTTCATCTTCATCTTCGCTTTCAGCTTGTCCAAAATTACGTTTCTTGGAATAACTATGATGACCTGCTGCCGCAAGTTCAGCTTTTGATCGGCGTGTATACACAAAGTCTGGATTTGATTCATGAAATTCATTCTTCAAATTTCGAGCTTTCTGAAGATAAACCTCCCTTTGTTCCTACAAATTATACAAATTACGATAAATTATCTATCGCTAAAAGATGGCATGACTGGTAAAGAAAAAATTTTGATGACTTACATCAGACATTCCACGCCAACTTTCACCAATTGTTTTTGAAATTTCAGCCACAGACATATTGGGATTCGTTTCTAATACTCTTGGGCGCATTTCTTTGTTAAAGATCAAGAAGGCATTCATTGGTCTCCTTAATTTACGATTTCTGATAGGGATTGTGGACATTGTCGACCTTGGTGGATTTGATAATGCTGGTGGTTGTGGCTAAAATTTTTTGATAAATGAAACGAATGTAAACAAATTATATACGAATTAACGTGACAATAATTTATGAATAGTAAACTAATAACCTGTTGTGGCTTGTTAATATTATTATTGAGTGAACTTCGTTGAGCATTTGTATTCGTTGCTGTTGAAGTAGGCGTTGCATTACTATGAGGGGATGAATAAACGTTATTTGGATGATGTGGAGGAACACTACCATTGATTGGACCATTGGACTATAATAGTAAAAATAAGATAAATACATGCACGAAAAACCAATAAAAAGAGAACTTTCGAAATGAACAAAATATAAATATACTTACTATTGGAACGTTTGTAGATTGAGGTGGTACCACTATAGGAGCGGTAGGAGATTTTGTAGTAGTGGAGGTAGAAGTGGGGGCGTTCGTTGTGTTGGGGGTGGTCACGGTCGTCGCGGTCGGGGTAACAGAGGCAACGACGGCGGAAGGTGTAGTCGAGGATGTTGAAGCCTTCTTCTTTGTAGTAGTTGATGTTCCCCGACGAGTATAAACAAACCCAGGATTTGACTGTTTAAACTCCTCCTTGAGGACTCTCGCCCTTTCATTATAATGTTCTTTTCGTGACTATAATTAGCAAATTGTAAAGGATTCAAATTAATTAGTAAAGGATGAGAAAGTATAACAATATATCTATTTCACTCGATTTAATTTCTGATGCATACGTTATCCATCTTTTGCCATTCCTCCCCCAAAATTTTGCTAACTTGAGAGGTTTGCATATTCGGATCATTCTTTTGTAATTCAGGTCGACGTTCACTTGAAAAGATTATGAATGCATTCATGGGCCGTTTTGGTTTATGATCCTTTTGTGGTGGTAAAACGGAAGATGCAACAGTTGAGGTAGCGCTCTTCAGTTCTTGAGGAGCTTGTGGAGGTTGCGACTGTGGTTGCGGTTGAGGAGGAGGTTGCTGTTGGGGTGGTTGTTGTGGCGGTAATTGTTGCTGTGGTAGTTGCTGTGGTAATTGCTGTTGTGGTAGTTGCTGTTGCGGAAGTTGCTGTTGTAGTTGCTGTTGTGGTAGCGGTTGTGGTATCGAATTATTCTTTTGCAACGGCGTATGTGCAACCATTGGTGAAGGCTTTTGCTTCGAAGTTGACATCATGGTCACTTGATTTTGTTGAGAAAATGAGACATTTGAACTTTGCTGCTGTTGCTGCTGTTGTTGTTGCTGTTGTTGCTGCTGTTGTTGCTGTTGTTGTTGTTGTTGTTGCTGCTGCTGCTGTTGATGTTGTTGTTGTTGTTGTTGTTGTTGATGATGTTGATGTTGCTGATGTTGCTGATGTTGTTGACGTTGCTGGTGATGTGGATGCTGTTGAGTTTGTGCACCAACCAAACTTCGTGCAATCTTATTAGGAGGAGCTTGGTGATGATGTTGTTGTTTTTGTTGCATCTGTTGCATTTGCTGTATCGATTGTTCAGAAGGCTGTTGAGATGCCTGTTGCTGTTGATGATGATGCTGCAAAGCTGATTGCTGCTGCATTTGCTGCAACTGTTGTTGCTGCTGTTGTTGAGACTGTTGCTGTGGATGATGTAAAGGAGTAGGATGTTGCAACTGTTGCTTTTGCTGCTGCGATTGATGTTGGAGTTGTGATGGATGGTGCAACTGTTGTTGAGATTGTTGCTGATGCAATTGTTGTTGTTGCTGTTGTAGAGATTGCTGAGATTGTTGAGATTGCGATATAACTTGAACGGGAACACCTGTTTGTATTGTCGGTTTCTGTGTCACAGATTTGGTTAACCTTGGAGAGGATTTAACATTCACATTCTGAGCAACAGTGTTTTGATTGATGGCGGATCTTT